GGGGAAAAAAGAATTGAGACCTTTATGTAACTTCACATTCTATTTTTTTTTCTATTCCGATTCTGTGGTTCTGCACAGCATACATGTATATACTACATATATTGGGGACTTTTGGCATATTTTCAATTACATTTCTTCTTTTAAGAAAGTAAGAATCAAAAGTTCCATGGCAGGATTAGTGATGTACAATTAAGTAATCCCATTCACAGTGACACCTCTCTCCAGAATTTATTTTTTTAAGTGACAACTATTCATAGGCGATGTATTTATAAGTATATTTCGATACATTTATTTAAAAAATTTGTACCCCAATGTCGAGGTTTACCTAATGAAAATATAGATTCAACATGAACAATAAAAAATGAACACAACTTCTATTTTTTTTTTTTTTTTTTTTTTTTTTTTTTTTGGCTATAGAGATAATTGAAATAACTAGGTTAATAAAAAGTTATATAATTCATTTGCTCCATGGAGGATTATTAGAATGTAAATTTTCTAGATTCTTTATTTTATAGTTTCTAACGTCTCCCCTCTATTGGCTTACATGAACAGAATATATTTACCAATATAACAAACGTTAATCCATGTAAGTTCACGTTACATCATTCTAACTCCATGGTTTCAAAAGTTATAAAATAACCGCACGGCAATGCACGGTTCATAGCGTTCTACATTTATTAGCACTTGCATTTTCGCAAGAAGACATTTTAGTGTACTTTAAGTGTTTTAAATTACCGCTTAACCATAAAATGCATTCTTCACGGGAAATAAAATACTTCTTGATTCGGCCAATATCACAAGAAATGCAACGTAACGCGTACAATCAAGTAATAAGAAAATGCTACCTGTAGAACCACTTACGGTTATTTTCACAATTAACGAGCATTATATTTGTCAAAAAATCTGGAATTCGATTAGGTTTTATCCCGGCTTGGGAAGCAATATTTTCACAAATCGTTGTTCGATGCCAACCTGATAGTTTTTGTCGCTTTGAAGTGTTCTGTTTTTTGTCAGGATTCTTCGATTTTTGATTTACGAGAACCCGTTCACTTCCAAACTCGATAATCCTTTTTACGCCATGTAATAATTCAAAAAAGGAATATCTGAATGGAAAATTGGTCTTGATTGGTTGTGTTTTCAACATTGAGACATTTACAAACGAAAGAGAAATGTCATTTTAACAAAATAATTAGCGTATCATTAAGACTGTTGATTTATGAACATTCGCACGCTAAATATCTTGTTTAAAACATCACTTTGACACAGAACGTCATTTATCTCATATCTCGTTATAGTATTATCGCAAAACAACGTTTCATTTGCAGAAAAATAAATAGCCTTCATGAAGGAACAGGAAGACTGATTCTAATCGTTGGACAAGCAGTGAACGCAGACCGGACCTTGCTAATCCGACAAACTTCTCCGATCTCTGTTCCCGGCTTTTTAGAGATCTTCGCAATTTATCAAACTTTTTTTGCAGTAATTGCAACTTTTTTAAAGAATATCTTTGTACGTCATGTTCATAGCAACCCATTGCCCTCTTTTACATTATATCGAGTTATTGATTACCCATAAGCCAGTTTTACACCACAGGCCGTCAAAAGTAGCTTTGAATTTGATTTTTTAAAATGATTTGAAACATTTTAATGTATAAATCATAGAGAATTGGTCTCATTCATTACAAATGTAGAACAATACAGTAGTATACTCCCTCTCTCTCTCTCTCTCTCTCTTTCTCCAAGTAAATCTTTATTTAAAAAAACAATTACTGGTACTATTCCTGGACTACTCTATTTTTGTGGGGCATAAGTCAAAGGTTTAGAATAGTGATCTTGAATACATTGAAGAAAAAACCGTAATTATTCTCTTACATTAACTTAAAGAAATATATATACTAAGTATTATCTTTGGTAGCATTATGATGTCATTTCCTCAGATGGGTGTCAAACTCTTCGAAATAACATGACTGTCTCGTTGTTTTAATCAAATGAATTTTATGCATAGCGGATTATTGAAGACTGAATAGCCTAAGTGCTTTGCAATATCGGCATCTTATAAAAACCAGATTGACCTTATGTTCTTTATGTAAATAAGACAAAACCAGTGTCTTAAGAATTCACACAATTACAATTTGGTTTCCAGAGACAGTAGAAAGTATATAATTTACACAAAATTCCAGCATTATAATACACAATGAGGGAAATTACATCGTTGTAAATCTCACTTAAACATTACAGTCACATCACAATTATTTTGCCGCCAAATGTGTGGAATTTGAATTGTAAATGAGTCAAAATCATACGTTTCTTAACAGTTTGGCGCCGACCGCTACATTGTCTTTGCATTTACGCTTCGGTTCATAAATAACAATAACGTTAATTTTGGACCGTTCCTCGAATCAATCCCGGGATTGGTGCTGCAAGATTTCCAATTCTAGAATGATAAAGAAACAACTACAGACAAATACCTCCTCTGGAACCGAATGATGGATGAAATGTTCGCTTTCTCTTTACAGAGCCCTGTCCCCGTAAACAGAAATTTTCTTATACTTCCTCTAACTTTATTGGTCTTGTGGAGGTGTTTGAAAATAAAAGGTCAATAAAGAAACATCTTAATTTACTTCGGAGTTCTTAATTTTTTGTGGAGGGTAGGGTGAAAACGCCTAGAAGCTTGTGTTGTAAACTAATAATTGTTTTGAAATGCTAAATGCATGAACTGTGGTAATATCCGAAATCAAGTTTTCGAATGGAAACTGAAACATTTGTATTATAATTGATGGATTGTAAATGTATTTTTTTTTATTTTATTCATTTTATTTTATTTCATCGTATTGTATTTTTTATTTGACTAATCCAAGATTTACCCAGACTTCGTTAACATTCACATGTACAAGTGTATTCATTGGTGGCTTTTGGAATTGATAGTGAAAAATACGTCTATACATGTATATGTTCATTCGATTAAAACATACAGCTTACAATGCAATAAAATTATGATATAGTAAGTTGTGCAGTAAAAACCTCTTTGACTTATTTGCATAAAAAACGTACACAAACATGTTCAATTTAAAATAGGGAAAGAAAAGAAAGAAAAAAATATGACAATTTATTTTTTAAAAACCCCACAAAAACACATTAAAATTCTTCGATTTGAATGCTTATTTAAAAATAAAGAAACGAAAAAAGTTTGGCAATATTTTGTGTTGCTTGCGCTTCCTGTGCTTACGTTCGTTTTCAGGATATTGCTGTTGCTTTCACTAACTGATTTGACGAATTGGGGTCTTGATTTCCAGAGACTGTACGCGTTGGACCGAAAACAACACTTACTCGCTCCATGGAACAACGATCCCGATGATTTAATAACCATTCAAAAATCGTAATCAAGGAGTTTCACACATCGTCGACACCGCAGTTCTGATTTAGATCACGGTGAACATTTATATTTCGTATTGTGTAGTAGAAATCTAATGTGATTTGCATACTCTTTCTATGTAGAAAGTTATGATGAAAATGTTACTATGGGATGTCATATTTTTCGATCTGTTTTAGTTTGAAGTCATTTATATTTATCTTCCTTACTATTGCGTTCTATTATACCAATTTCGAATTTCAGTTTTCAAACAGTGCATATTTTATAACATCTATCTTTGTGTAGCATGTTTATTCGTCAAAATATTTGAAAAAATACTAGAAATGAAATATAGATCATTTTAAATTATTTTTTTAAAATTTAAATATGTCAAAAACACCAATCAATATATATATATATATATATATATATATATATATATATATATATATATATATATATATATATATATATATATATATATATATATATATATATATAATTCTTAAATGTAAATCTGGTTTGATATTTAAAATGTATAGTAACTCTTATCTCAGTGTTCAAACTTAACCCTATTTCTGTTCAATATAGGCTTGATGTTCAAAACCATGTTGCAAATACTAGAAATAAAACACAAAATTTTGACTCTTTTCTTTTAAACATCCACATTTAATCTAACAGCAAAAACATAAACTTATTGTAATATTTACATAAATGTGTAGATCGCCTCACGTTGAGCAATCGACACTTTGATGATTTTGTTTATTGTGTAGGGAGATAGAGTTTCTGATTTATGAGGTACCAGTTTTCTTAAAAACATATGAAATGAATTATTTTAAGAATTTTATTTTCTAAAATGGAGAGAGATCTCGTGAGAATATTACCAATATTTTCTTTTTCAGAGATCATTAAACTTTTGCTTTATTCCCATGCTAAATCAGAAAAACACAATCCTTTAAGATGATAATTATCCATTATGATATATTTTATTCATTTAACAATAATACTAATTCATTTTTTCAATAAAATTAAAGTTAATTTATAGCAAATGAAGACTTGGAGTATCGATATCAAGTGAATTTCTTTTATATACGTTATACTTGCTATTTTATTGAAATGTGTACCCATAAGATTCTAAGCATTTTTATAAAATAAATTTTTTTATTGTTCTATTATATTTGTAAACTCCAGAAAATTTGCTATGAACTGTTAAAATGCTTGACTTTAAGATAGACCTTTGCAGTTATTTTGTTCACGGCCGCTTGTCCAAATAATAATAATTTCTATTCAATTGTCTAGCTCTCGTACTTCGTAAGAAATACTCTTATTAATACTAATCCAGACTATATTTTAAAAACCGAAAATACGCTTCCAGTATTACACATTATCTTGAAGAACAGGTTCAATCTCCGTAAGACAAAACAAATATGGTGTCATGCAGAGACTTTTTTCTGCGAACCTGTCATCCTGTCTGTCCAAAGCGTTTGCTCATATCAGCGGTATATCGATCCCGGTCCTAATGGATGGAGCTGACTCCTCCCTTCAGTCTTGTGATTGGCAGCCCATAGTCACAAACAGCCAATAGCAAACAGCTTAAACAAGTGAAGAAAATTAACAGAAACTTAAGATGGTACTTAAGATATACAAATGTTATAGCAATGGTTTAATTGAAGTAGTTACATAGAATTGTTTGGCAGATGATAAACAAACGATAGTTCGTGTGTGGTACCATCTTTTATACTCTTATTAATAAACATTTATCTCGAGAAAGATTTTTAATTTTTACGGAAATTTGGGAGAAATTTCACATAAAATTTGGTATGGATTCTGAAGAAAATTCCCGTACAGAAAGTATAACTGGAGAGATGCCTTCCTCGGCCAAAGCTGTCCAGCTATCGTCCAAAGCCACAGCCTTTTCCATAGCCGCAATAATGGAGGGGGTGACCCCCAAGTCTGCCCCAGGCAACCCGCAGTCCAAAGAAAGTCTACCCAACCTCGGTAAGTATCTAAATCATTAAAACTATCTTAATTTGTAAAGAATACAATATACTTAGATATAGTTATGTGGCAAGGAATATATATTGTGAACAATATAATAATAAATTCGTTTTTTACACGTTTTCTTTCCGAGGTTATTTTTATAAATGGTCTCGCTAATAATATTTCTTTTTTCTATTTATTACTGAAAAATTGTTATTATGACTAGTGATAATGCAAATTTTTAAAAATAAATGGAAAGTATGTATAATATCAATTATCCATGAAATATGATAGAATAAAATTTTCAAGATATTTTGTATTTCTTTGCGACATAAAATTTAATTCTGATAATTATTTACAGGAAAATAATAATTAGCAATAATATTTGTAATTCATATCAATGAATTATTTTTCGATCCTCAGATCGATCGTATCTTGAGATATCTAAGACCATCTTAAAAGTAACCCTATATTGGAAAGTTTAAAAATATATATATAACATTTTACATATTGTTGTGAAACGGGCATTAATAATTTCTTTAGTTTGTGATGTAAAAAAATCACAAAATAAATTATTTCATCTGTAAAGACTAAAAACATGTTATAATATGTACGTTTAGGAAATCTATTTATTTCCCATTTGATTCAGGTGCTTTTTACATTGTTTTTTTTTCCCATTCTATTTACGAACTTATAAATTAGAGAAATATTTTATCCAACAATCTAAAATCGATCGCTACTACTGACTCGTGAAAATGCACCTTTTATTGTCAAATAATTAGGATAATATTCGGATAATACTTCGTTTAGTCAGGTCATTGGTTTTGAAGAAATAAAACCATCAAAATAAATACTATACACCAGTTGTAAATTTGGCGATTTTGAGCAATCGATTATCGGCATTTTATCGCTGATTAGTTAAATATATCAGATAGATACCACTTCTGCCGCTATTGATATAAACGGTCCTTTGGAGGGGTAGCAGTCCGTATAAACGGTACTGTTGACTAACTTTATGGAGGGCAAAACCTAGATTTAATTGAGAGATATCCTATCCTTATCTTTTAACGATAAGTGACATAAACTCAATATCTCACTGTCCTATCAAACACTTGGAATTGTTGAAGGCAGATTATCTCAAGAATTAATCTAATCAATTAAAATAAAGGACTTAGAATGTAGGAACAACGCATCTATAATGAGACTTCATTTACAACAGCTTAACAATGTTTTATAAATTTGCATTAGGATTTTCAACAAAGCTTTAGCGTCAAAAATTGCACCTTATTCAAGTTAGTTCACCTCTATCGGACACCTGTCGGGCCCAATCTAGTCACATGACTCTTCATTACTAATTAAGAAAATTTGGTTTAAAATATTTCACAGTGGTCGAGAGATGGGTATAAGAAAATCTTGTGCTTACACGTACCAGCAAATTTTTAAAATTCATTTCATAGATCTACCTTTCTTTTCAATGATTTTATTTCAAACACGAATTCTTCTTTCTTGAAAATAATAAGTCGACAGAAAAATCAAAAGAGTTTTAAAATAAATTATGCAATATAATAGTGCATCATTTATATTCAAAGTTTTACCACATTCATAGGAAAAAAATATTCTTTAAAGTATTTGTCAATTAATTCTGTAGTTTTGTTCATAAACAGTAGTATCTTTCTTTGCAAATATTTTATTAAAATTACCAAAAAGAAAAATGTATAAATATATATAAAAGATTAAAGAGGCAAAATGAACTTTGCTAACCTACCC